GTATGACTCAGCTTTCTATTAAAAAGAAAAGTTCCATCCTCAGTCTTGTGCTTTTATTAGTTACCAGCGTGACTGTCACTGTCAGTTAGCTCAAATTAATTCATTTGCTCTAGTATGATTGTTTTGCCAATTGAATGTAAGCTTCCCAAAGCAGCGTAATGAAATCTTACAAACAGCATTCCTGGGTGCCAGGCATGCTTTTAGAGCTTGGCATGCACTAATTGACATCATCATTTCAACCTATGAAGTAGATGCTATTAATAGCCCCGTTTTACAGATGTGGAACGAGATAGAGAGATTAAGTAACTTTGCCAAGATCCCTCAGCAGGTAGCGGGGCTGGGACTCAGACCCTGCTGGTCTATATCTGGTTGTGAATCAGTACGTAATTCTGTTTCTTGACCAGAGAAGGCCAGTGTTCTTTTCTAGCTTTTTCTAATGCCTAAAGAGGGGCCACTTGTTCTGAACTAGAGAGAAGCCCCATCTTGGGCTGAATTTCTCTTACCCTGTGTAGATGGTTGTAGAGGACTCCCTATCCCCCTCCATATGGAAGAGTCGTAAGGTCTTGTCTGGGCAACAAGCACTTATCAGTGTGAGATAAGTGTTTTTGGCTCATTTTTCACTGATCCATGGGAAAAAATAACTATGTCTGCCTCCTTCACTGCTCAGGAGACACCCCTGCCCCCACCTCCATCCCGCCAACCTGCCGACATTGCCTCTGTGGCTGTAGAGAGAAGTCTCTCTGGGAAAGCAAACAGACCATTGAAGAGGACTCTGGATGGAGCTAGAGGGTGACAGTTCAGAACTGGGTCTGGGCTCTCTCTAGGTCTTCTGGGTTAGTACAGGGGCCTCCCCGGGGGTCACAGACTCCAAGTGGGTGGGTATGGCCTTCTCTGGGATGACTCTCGGGCACCTGCTGGCCCCCATGTGCCTCCCCATAAGGAGCTGTGGTATCAGAAATTTTTGTTCCTGGCTTAGAAGAAGGCTCTTTTCATTTATTTATTTATTTATTTATTTATTTATTTATTTATTTATTTTTTGAGAAACACAGATAAGGGAGCCTGAAACCTACTTTCTTCTAGACATTAGTAAGAGAACCTATTGCCTGAGATGTTTTCTCCAGGTGCTACCTGTATGGTCCTCTTGATTATTATGTTGTTCTAGTCAAGAGGACAGAGGGTGAGAATGAGAGGGCATTCGGAAATTTTGCTACTGTGGGAGCTTTTTTGTGTGTGATGTTCAGAAACATTGGAATATGAAATCTGATGTGCATGTGAGTGGTGACTTATAGCTTAAATGTGTCACCTAAGAAAATCCTCCAGTTATGATCACCGAAAAATGTAATTCCAACTAGAATAAACCTTTTCAGTGCGGCCAAATAGGGCTGTTCCTGTTTGAACTGCGTGCGTGGGCTGTTCCCACGAAGCTTGTGAGTCATGCATGAGCACCTTGGCCAGATGATCCCAGCCAAATAGCCAGGGCCTCCATTTCCTGTGAAAGGCATGTGCTGGCATGTTGAAGCCGCGTGTGCTTCTGGGCTTTGCTTGCACTGAGGCCAACCACGGCCCCGTGCCTAGGATGCTGGGTGCCTCAGCCTAGAAATTCTCCCCAACACGTGTGTGCGTGTGTGTGTGTGCGCACGCGCCCTTCCCTTTTCTCCTGAATTTTGATCTCGTTCTCTATCCCTGTCATTTAGAGGAGGTGTTTGCTCTCACACACCTTTTATTATCAAAACTTTGATTTTAAATCAAAACGGACAGGTTTCAGATTAACCTGCTTAATGCAGTGCCATTCATTGCTATGTATGGTGAGATATTTTCTTCATCATGATAAATGAAGGTTATGAATTCATAATAATAACATATAGTAGTTGGCTCCTAAGGAACATAAAGATATCACCAGTATCATCTCATTGCCATTGAAAGACACAGTGCTGGAGGACATTATTTCTGGAATTTTCTTTTAGCTGCAGAATGAGAAGTCAGGACATAATAATTAAGTCAGAACTTAATAAGAGAGACTAAAGATGTTTGATCAGAATGTTTCATTGTGGGTGATCAGAGTCCAAGACAGAGAAGCCGAGTAGTGGTGCTAAGAACTGGAACCCATGACCACTGTCTTGTGGTCCAATATTGTCCCCATTAGACCACACTCCACTGCTGGCCACTGCACAAGTGGTAGGGAATGGGAAGCCGAAGAAATGGCTGGGCTGTCTCATGGAGCAGGGCTCATGGCCCTTTCCCTCTGGGCCCCAGCTGCTCTATCTCTGATGTGAAAATGTGTCACTTTTCTAGTTCTAAGACTGCTCTATACTGTGCCTTTCCAGATGAAGGAAGTCATCAGTGCTAATGGTGCAAGGCCTCCTGGGATGGTTTCCCTCTAGGAGTGGTGAGAAGCAACTGGAGAAGGGTGCTTTGAAGAGTTGAAAAACTACCTGTCACTCTTGTGGTTTATTTCCATTCTTGGAGACTGATCCTATGATGTGTCAGGTCCTATTTTGTCCTCCCTAAGGAAATCAGAGTACTTGAAATTCACTGTCCTTGTTGTGTGGGGTTGAGTGAATCACTTAACTTCTTTGTCTAGCTGTTTCCTGCTCTTTTGCTCCATGGTGTCATTGTGAGGGCTGAACGAATTACTAACACTAAGTTGATTATTGTTGACTGGCTCAATTTTTTTTTTTTTTTTTTTTTGACAGGCAGAGTAGACAGTGGGAGAGAGAGACAGAGAGAAAAAAGGTCTTCCTTTGCTCTTGGTTCACCCTCTAATGGCCGCCGCGGCCGGCACGCTGCGGCCAGCGCATCGCGCTGATCCAAAGCCAGGAGCCAGGTGCTTCCTCCTGGTCTCCCATGGGGTGCAGGGCCCAAGCACTTGGGCCATCCTCCACTGCCTTCCCGGGCCACAGCAGAGAGCTGGCCTGGAAGAGAGGCAACCAGGACAGAATCCGGCGCCCCGACCGGGACTAGAACCTGGTGTGCCGGCGCCGCAAGGCGGAGGATTAGCCTAGTGAGCTGCGGCGCTGGCCTGACTGGCTCAATTTTTATAAACAGATGGAGGTGTACACGGAGAGGAGGCATCCTCTGTAAGCGTGGTGATCTGTCAAGCCACTGTCAGAGTCTAGAAGAAAAGCTTAAAAAGCCATCACAGAGTTCAGATCTTAGAACCAAAAAGTGCTTGTCAGTTACAAAGCAGTGGCTCTGAACTCAGTGCACGCACGCACACACAGACACACACGTCAGCTGGAACTTTGGCTAAAATTGTCACAGATCCTTACCTGGAGATGCTCATGCGGGAGTCTGAATTTTGTAAGCTGGTAGCTTCTGGGTCACACCAGAGAAACTGCGGAGGGGTCGCCACTCACCAAACCCTCCCGGCAACCTGCCCTGAGCAGCAGCTGCTGATGGGGATGTACAGATGGAGGCGGTGGGAGGCAGCTAAGGGCTGAGAAGCAAAGGGCGGAGGGAAGCATGGCTGCCGCTGTGTGTGGAAGAGTGTAAACCACTGAGGTCGTAAGTGGAGAAAGAAAAAGAAATCGGGGGGTGGGGGGGGCGCGGGCGCTGGAAATCTATCTAAAACATCTCCCTGTGGGCCTGCAAAGTGAAAAGAGAGGTGGGATTTGATCTCAGCTCCAGAAACTATGTGTGCGTCTGGTTCATGGATGTCTTTGAAGCTGCACTAAAATTATGCTTGTATTGAATTTTCCCTTCCTTTGAGCCCCATTTCTATAGTGGCTGTTGACCTGTGCTCAGCTATGTTTAAAATGAAACAAAACACAACAACAACAACAACAAAAACCCCTTTAACTCCCCCCTGTGGCTGTACAGGATACTTTAACTTCCTAGTAAAACTCCAGACTTTTATTGACTTTCAAAGGTTTCATCATATGTATCCAAGGCCCAGAAGATGGTTTTAGGTTCTCTTTTTACAAAGAAAATATGCGAGAAAATTGATAATCCTTGAATGGCCAAATCCCCTCTTGACCGTGCCATTCCTAATAACTCATTTTTCACCACAGAAGGCCTGGGGGGTACTTTACTCAACTGGGAGAAGGCATCCTGTTTCTGGGGTAAACTGAGATGGCATTGCTGCCTCTGCTCAAGACTGGCCTGAGGCCAGTGAGCTTCTGGAGTCCGAAGCTCAGAGTGGACTGAGCATCTCTCACCAGCGGGTTTCCCACTTAGCACTGGTGGTTCCATATCAGGGTCTGTGTGGGCCCACCACTGAGCCAGCCAGAAAGGAAGAAGGTGTGGGTGGGAATGAGTGGTTTTCAGTTTAGGGAAGAAGCATTCTCTTCTGCGTAGCACCTTATAGTGTACGAGACTTTTCCACCTTTGCTATTGCATTTAATCTTTCCAGTGGCAGTCGAGAGGCCTCTGTGGTGTTATGCCTATTTTGCTTCAGGTCACACACCCAGGCTGGATTCAGATTCCATCTCAAGGTTTCTGAATCCAAGTTCCACGCTCCTTCCACATTTCCAACCTGCAATGCAGCTATTATGCAGTTAAAGGCTGACCAGAGTTGCCGTGCCCATTCAGATGAGAGGCAAATTATTGATAGAACATTCTAGGAGTTCTGCATCCCACTTGCTTACCATAAGTCACTCCCTGTCTGGAGGAAGAAAATTGCTAGGCTGTGGGTTAAACAACGTGTGTGTCTTTGATGTGGGCTCTGGCATCAACTGAAACCTGACACATAGCCTTGAGAGTTCAAAACTGTTTTATTGAGGAGAATTGTGAGCTTGATCATGGGAGATCTCTTGTTCCTTTTTTTTACACCAAAAGCTAAACATTATTAAAACCCTCAGATCATAACTAGATAGCTACATTTCATGGTGAAAAAATTTTAAATGAGATAATAATGACAAAATTAGGTCTAGGGCTGTTGCTAAAAGCAAAGCTTATACAAGTATAGAATTACATTTCTGTAAGACTTTTCAGTATACACAATAGGATGTCATAAGCAATTTCATTTATCTTAAAACCCCTTGAAGTAGGCACGATCCTCATTGAACAAACAAAGAAATGAAGTTTAATGAAGGTTCAAGGTTGTGCCCCAGGTCACAATGAGAATGTGGCAGGTTTAGGACCTGAGGTCTTTCGTTTCCATATTGTGGTGTTTTTTTTTTTTTTAAGATTTTATTTATTTGAGAGGTACAGTTACATACAGAGAGAGAGAGGGACAGATGGAGAGAAAGATCTTCCACCTGCTGGTTCATTCCCAAAATGGCTGCAATGGCCAGAACTGGGCCAATCTGGAGATAGGAGCTAGGATCCTCTTCTGGGTCTCCCATATGGGTGCAGGGGCCCAAACACATGGGGCATCTTCCACTGCTTTCCCAGGCCACAGCAGAGAGCTGGACTGGAAGAGGAGCAGCTGGGACTAGAACGGACACCCTTATGGGATGCTGGCAATGCAGGTGGAGGCTTAACCTACCGTGCCACAGTGCTGACCCCCAGCATTATGGGGTTGATTTGGAATTGTTCATTAAAGATTCTAGAAATGTCTAATAATTTTCAGGGAATGACGTACTCTGTGACAGCCCTGTAAGAAGTTATGGCTGGTTGGACATAATGATGCCTTTTCACTTTGGAACTGCCTCGAACTGGTGAGCAGAAATGATTCCTTTTTGCTTTGCTGGAAAGCTTCTGGATACTGAGTATGTGTGTGTCTCATGGACAGAATGAAGCATGGACTGAAGCTGTTTTCCATTGTCGCCATCATGGGGAGGATGCAGGCAGGGGTTATGTCCTCAGAGTCCCAGCTACAGGTCCCTTGTCAAACAGTCAGACCAAACTCCATTCACTAAAGAACAGGAAGAGAAATAGCAAACATTTAGTCCAAGGACTCATGCTGTTTCTTCAGAATGCTCTAGGTGTGCTGCCCACAGCTATTACTAATTCTTTTTGCTTTAAAGATTTATTTATTTATTGAAAGGCAGAGTTTCAAAGAGTAGGGGATAGAGGGGGAGACAGAAATTGATAGATCTTCCATCTGCTGGTTCACTTCCCAATTGACTGTAATAGCTGGGGCTGGGCCAGGCTGAAGCCAGTAGTCTAGAACTCCATCTGGGTCTCTTATGTGGATGGCAAGGTTCTAAATACTTGGACCATCTTCTGCTGCTTTCCCAGACACATTAGCAGGGAACCTGATTGGAAGTGGGCCAGCTGGGACTTGAAGTGGTGCCCATATGGGCTGCAGGCATCGTAAGTGGTATCTTAACCTGTTGAGTCACAATACTGGCCCCTAGCCCTGTTTCTTAAAAAAATAGAGAGCCTAATGGCTTGTACAGTTCTGAATGATGTGGACAGCTTTAAAAACAGGTTTGGGAAGGTAAAGTATTTTAGGATAGTTAAAGAGCAGTTGAGCCAATAGTGTGGATTAGGTTCAAACTTGTGCCCATCTGCTCAAAGTAACAAAATATTAAAGATTTCATTCTCTCTTTGTGTTGTTCCTACACAGGCTTCTTTCCATATCTAAAGAGGGAGTTCAGAAGAGAAGGTTGTAGCTTTTCACCTTCCTGTACCAATGGCCAAAAGCAGCCTAGAGCTAGTCTGACTGGCTCTAAGGAGGACGAGAAGTAAACAGGGCCTGAGTAAACAAAGGAGAAACCTGCCTGTCAATCACCCGTGGAGTGGCGCCATATACATCGTTTCCCGTCCCTTTGCTAAATGCGGTACTGCCGTCCAGAGAAATGTGCTTTATCATCACGTTGGGAGCGGCAACTTAGGGAAGGAGCAGAATGAAGCATACTCTGTCTAGCAATTGGGAGGGGACCAGCTGTAGTAGCAAAAACTAAGTACCTGCAGGGACTGGGGAGTTCTTAAACCTTTCTGGCAGGAGCATGCATTGGCCTCTGTCTCAGGAAAGCAAGCCATTGTTATCACCTTGGGACGTTAGACTCTGGCCAGTCTGGTGATGTAGCAAGGCTGCACGTGCTCGTGAGAGGAAATGATCTTCCCGTCCTGGATCTCCTGTGTGATGGTGCATATTTTAACCAGGATCCGGGACAGGGGTGCACAGGCACTGTAGGCCTTCCGGATCCCCTGGGGGACTGAGGAGGTGTAGGCTGGGGCTCTGGCTTTACAGGAAGTATGCATGGGAGATTCACATTCGGTGGCACATGGGTTCCAGGGAAGCCTGTGGAGACAAGCAGAATTTTACCTGTGACTGAGGGAGGGCAGTGGTGATGATGGAGAAAAATGGCAGTGGCTAATGTTTCAACCCTTGGCATTCAAAAGGAGTGCTTCCAAAAGCTCATTCATTCACCTGTGCTGTGTTTAGTGTGATAAAAAGAATCAGACAGGATCCACTGAAAACAGCATCCTAGGTGTAAGAGTGTGTAAGCTTCCACAGGAGTCCATGCCCTAAGAATACCACCCCAGCAGAGAAAGCCTGGGACAGGACCTGACTCTGTCACCTAGTGGTGGGTGCCTTCAGATAAGCCAGGTTTTCATCTGCAGAATGGATAAAATGGGAACTCCATTCTTGGGATCAGCAGTCATAAAGAACAGGTTGAAGGAATGGAAACTAAAGAGATGTTTTTCTTATCAAGGAATATTTTTCTTATCGATAAGGAAATGGTTCCTTATTGAGGAACCCATGTAAGCAGTGTCCTCAGTGTGTCATCAGGAAGCTTGAGTGTCTTCTGAATGTCAGCGCGGAGTTCTTAGAGGACTGCAGCAGGCAGCAGTTAACAGAGAACACTTTTGGTGACACGGGACACTTTCTGTGATGACCCCAGGCACTTGGGTATATCATTGCTCTTTAAGGTCATGGCGCTGGTTAGCATTGTGCTAGTGTGATAAGCACATGCTAATTAAGGGGATGCTGTGAACAGAGTTCACCAATTATCTTTTGGGAGGGGCAGGTAGTGCAGGTAGGTCTCCTTTGCAAGTGGAACCAAGTCTGGTCTGAGGTTGGGTTGAGTTACTTCAAGCAGCTCATATTCCAGGTGAGTTCCTACGGGTGAGTTTAATGTCTATTCACTGAGAAAAATAACTTTCACTAAAGAAAAAAGTTACTGAAACACACAGGTATACGTGCTGCTCTTGGCATCAAGGACTAGTGGCTGCACAGTTAGGGATTTCAGCCCCAGCACACTGTTCTCCAGAGACAGCAGGGTTGTGCTGTTCGGTCTCATGCGGGTTAGATGCTGCACTGGGGGTGGAGCTGGGGGAATTCGTGACAGTCACCAGGAATGTCCCTCTTTGGGGAAACCATTTTTTTCTTCTAATAACATCTAAAATTCTAAGAAGCTAAATACCATGTAAGGGATTCACTTGATATATTGGCTCTTTAAAACCACTTAGTTCAGCTAACACCTCGACTTTGGACTAGGTCACAGTTGTCAGTGTCTGAAGGTCACTGTTGCCTGTGTGGAAGCAGCTTCCCATTCCTGGCCAGATCTAAGTGCTTGTCCCCTGCTGCCCATGGCAGGACACACATGTGTGCCTTGGAGCATCTTTCTCATGCAAGTTGCTTTAATTTACGTACTCGCAGTCTGAGCTCTCCAGAAGGCTGCGGTATGTGGCAATCTCGCCCTCCAGCCGGGACTTGACATCCAGTAGAATCTCGTATTCTTGGTTCTGTCCTTCCAGGGCACTCCGGATCTCTGCCAGCTGAACCTCTAGGTTGTCAATCAGACTCTGAATCTGGGCCAGCAGGGCTGCGTAGCGGGCCTCCGTCTCAGTCAGCATGCATTCCTGGGAATCTCGCTACCACGGAGGAAGAGAGTAGGGTTGTAATAGTCACTTCTTTAGCCCAGGTCATTGCTTCAATTATTTTAAACAATGGTTTTGTGATGGTACTTACGGATCTCCAAGCCCTTATATTACCTCCTAGCCAAATAAATTAAAAAAACAAAATTACCAATTATGCTTGAGTTTGCTTTCCTTTATCTCCTCTGCTTGCTTTCTTTCTTTCTTTCTTTCTTTCTTTCTTTCTTTCTTTCTTTCTTTCTTTTTTTGCCCCTCTTTTTTATTTTTCTTCCTCAATCTTGACCGACTGATAATCTACCACATTCTCCTACTTAGGAGAGGCAAAAAAATATTTCAAGCTATTGTACATCTAGGGGTTAAAAATGTATCACAACAGCACTTCATTCATGAGTTTTCAGATTTTAAAAACAAAGTGAGTGACATTTAGCTATACACATTGCCCTCACTAGATCAGTTCCTTTAGATGTAAAATACGAGTATTGAAATTGATGGGTGAAGTTACTTCCTACTCTATCATTCTGTAAGACTATGGATTAAGGTGGGATTTTAGGTGCTAATAGCCTGTTATTTGCATGATTATCCCAATTTCAGAAAACTGAAGTTCAAGAGATTGAGTTTCTGACACATGACTAAACCAGCTTGAGGCAATGTTCTTAGCACCCTTCCTACCAGAGCATGCAAGTAATTTCCTACTTCAGAGAGGGAATATAAAGAGGCAGATAGGATACTGGCTTTGTAATCTGAATTGTGGCTCTGAGTCATTTCTCTTGCTATTTTGGACAAGTTACATAAAGCCTCAGGATTTCAGTGTCTCCATCTACAAAACAGATGAGAGGAAATTCGTCTTGGATTTGGCTTGGAAAACCCACCTTAGCTCTCAGAGCCTCATCTATATGCTCATCTCACAGCATCAGCTGTCAAATGGTTTAATAACTGCCACCTCCCTTATAAGACTACTTTGTAAACTTAATATGATAACTTATGAACTCAAAGCTCTCCTAGCGTTTCCCAAGATGTACTCCGCACAGATCATTACCATGAGATGCTCTAAAAGAGGGGCATTCACAGTCAAATAAGTTCTGGAATGCTGAATACCACTCAGCTCGTCCTTGGAGACCTGGTGGATTTTGGCTTTTTGTAGGCTTTCAGGAAGGCACCCTGCTTAACCTTTGTTCCATTCAGTATCTCCCAGACTTATTTGACCACAAATACTGTCCATAGATTCTTTAACAAGCAGAAAAACTGTTCTGAGGGATACAGTTTGGGAAACATAGCACACACAGGTGTCAGGGGCTGTTGCCATCCTTGCTGTGCTAGGCTTGGTCAGCTTGCTGGGTACCATTCGGTGCTGGGCCTGCAGTTCAACTTCCAGAGCATTCCTGGTGCGTCTCAATTCTATGATCTCCTTCTGACAGCATTGCTGCTGTTGAGAGCTGGTCACCACTTCTTGATTCAGCTCCTCCATCTGAAACACAAAGACCATGGGCATTATGGAAGAACACACGACTTTGGGTTAAGGGTCTCTGGAAATGCAACGTCAGCCTAGTGTTTTTGATTTTTCTGCTCTCCCCACCTGCGCATTGAACCATTGTTCCACATCTTTACGGTTTGTTTCCATGATGGACTCATACTGACATCTCATTTCTTGTAGAACCTGGTTTAGGTCAACAGAAGGGGCAGCTGTCACTTCAATGTTGAGTCTGTCCCCAAGCTGGCTCTGTAAGGAATTAACTTCCTGTGGAATGAAAAAAATTTACTCAGTGGATAGATGACCCCCTTGCATTCTTGTTTCAATTTAACAGCAATAATTTAGCTTAATTGTGTCTTAAATACAGCCTACAATAAAGGAACACCTGATTTATAGGTGTTATTGAGATGCTATAAAATGACTTCAGGCTATTTCATATCTGACTGTATGTTCAAATATGTGCAATTTTAAAAGGAGTTGACCAGCAAGATCAAAGTTCCAAAGAATTTAGATCATTTCTAGGGATGAACAATGGGAGAAGCAGCATAGATGTGGAATTTATGAGACAACATAATCACTATGATGCCAATATTGTGCCAATATTGACATGCACCAAAGGGAGCTGACAGAAGTTCATGCAAGGATGCCTACAAAGAGATGAAAGACCTGTGGGGATAGGAAAATGGGGTTACTTTCTTCTCATGGGAAAGACAGGGGAATTCATGAAGGTCTGTCTTACCCAGATGTTGTGTTATAGCCAATGGATTTGAAATATGTTAAGCTAGTGGTCAGTGTTAACAGGATGGTGTCTAGCAGTAGTGCCCCCCTTTTAGGTAAACTTCAAGGGAACTTAGGCAGTTGTCAGAGGTGGAGCCTCTGATGACTCTCGGTCTTTCTCTAACCTCTTCATGGTTGCTTTTGAGGCAGAGGAGCTCCTCCTTCAGAGACTGGACTCGCGCCTCCAGGTCAGCCTTGGCCAGGGTCAGTGCATTCAGGATCTGTCGTAGGCTGTTGGCATCGGCCTCCACAGGCTGGCGCAGGGACACCTCAGCCTCATACCTTTAAAAACCAGGTGTGAAAAGAAAGATACTAAAAAGTAGATGATGCAACTCAAGCCAAGTAAAATGTCCTCCTGCCTTTTTTTTTTTTTTTAGCCTTTCAGTGAGTGGATTTCTATTGAGGTTTTTTATCCTCTTCAGAGGGGAAAACATTTGATAAACATCATGACTTGCCTTGCCTGTTGTGCCGAAGTTCATTTGCCAGAGCAATGCTACATTGCTATTCTTTGAGATGAGGGAATTTATCCTCCCTCCCCTGCCTCACAGGCACTGCAGTGTGAGAAGAGCAGCAGACTAGGGCTCTGAAAGCTTGGGTCTGGGCTTTTGTTCTCTGTCATACTGACTGTATGCCTTTGGGAAAGTAAGGTAAACGTATTAAACCAGCTATCTCACCTTAAAGGGGATGAAAATGTATTATCCCTACCTATTTTACTGAGCTATTGTGCAGGTAATTGGATGGGTTCATATGTTAGAAACCATAGGTACTGTGTACCTGTGAGTGTTTACTAATCTTGATCATTGAAGTTGAAGGTCTTCTCTGGGGTAGGGCCAACAAGTGTGGGGCAAAAGGGTCAGTGCATCTGGGGATTATCTTGTTGGGAGTGTAGGGTCAGATTCAGGGTAGGTTCTGTATCAGGGACAGTGCTGAGCAGGCTTACTTGGCTCTCAAGTCATCTGCAGCCAGCTTGGTGTTGTCAATTTGTGAGACCAGTCTGGAATTCTCAGCCTTGGTGCACAAGATCTAGAATTAAGAAATTGTACACACAAATAAGACCAACACCGGATCTCCTTCTGTAAGAACCGAGGGCTGGTGTGTGTTCAGTTAACAGGGCGAGGCCAGTTAGAGTTTTCATAAAGCTTTTTAGCTATGCTCAGGAAGACTTAGAAAGTCTTGTTGCTGTCCTACATGATCAGCAAAACATTATTTAAATAAAAACCTTAGTATATATTTTTCTTCTGTTAAAATACAAAACCCTTCCTAAATTAGCATAGCATACTGTGATCCCCTTGAATGGATCTCTTTTCACTAATAAGAGGGGTCTTCAAAAAGTTCATGGAAAATACGCATTATGGGAAAACTATCAAAATATTTTTGCAGCAAAATAAATGTATTTTTTATTTCATTTTCCCATGAGCCTTTTGAAGTTCACTTGTATTTTCTCAGAGCCTAGAACAATGTCCAGCACATTGTTGTTGATTCTCTATGAATATTTGTTGAACAAATAAAACTGGATAAATACAGGTATGTAGCAGCAATACATCATTCCGAATAGGAAACTTGGGTTTGATAGAAACAAACTATTAAACAATTTAGAGTTGGTAAAATGAGCACAAGAGGAGAAGAGAGTGGTGAGAGTTGTAAAGTAGATGAAAAACTAAACTGTTTAGGAACTTGTTAGAACAAAATTCGTTTTTTCCGGATCCCTGTTTTAGTATTTTTATTAAAGAAATGGTAGCAATTGGCTATTAATGTTTTGGTTCTGAGTTCTTTATTTATAATGGTAGAGAGTATCTCTGAAAAAAAGGAAAAACTGTAAAACTCAGAATGCTGCCTCAAGATGGCGAGGCTTTCTTATTAAAAAAAATTGGGGGGGGGCAGGCATTTGTCCTAGCAGTTAAGATGCTTGCGTACCACACTGGAGCGCCTGGGTTTGCATCTTGGCTCTGGCTCCTGACTTCAGCTCCCTGGTGATCCAGACCCTGGGAGGCAGCAGGGAATGGCTCAAGGCATTGTGTCCCTGCTCCCCATGTGGGATACCCAGATTGATTGCCTGGTTCCCATCTTCGGCCACAGCCAAGAGCCATTACAGGCATTTAGAGGGTGAACCAGTGGATGGTAGATCTCTCTTTCTCTCTCTCTCTCTCTCTCTCTCTCTCTGTCTCTCCCTCCCTCCCCCTCACCCCCCTCTTTTCCTTCCTTCCTTCTATTTCTCTCTGCCTCTCAAAAAAATTTCAGCATAAAAGGACCTAGAAATATTACAGTTTAGCAAATAGCCATTGCTTGGATACCATCAATTCACAGTGCTTCTCAGGTCTTGTAGAGTCTTGGATTTAAAGGTGTGTAGAAGGGCCCGTGCCCCAATCATTGTGGGTGGCACTCTAACTGCACCGCTGTGGCTCTTCTGTGACCCTCTGAAGGTCTGCTTAGGGTTCCCTCACTCTCCAGCACCCGAGGTGCTAGTGTCTCTGAAGACGAAGCTCAGAGGGACTTCGTAGAGAGAGTAAAGCAAATATGCACTGAATTTGCTTAGTGTTGAAGACAGTGCAAAAGGATCTTTCATATATTTGACAGTGTAGGAAATTATCTACTCCTGATAGAATAATTTTAGTACCCTTGCTTAAGGCAAGAGTTTCAGATTTACTATTAGCAGCTCGTCTGTTCATAAAAAATTGTAAAAATTAAAAAAATAAAGCTAGACTCTTTATGTATGGTGAGCATAACAGGTGTCTGAAAACCTTACCTTCTGCTGGAGCTCCTCAATGGTAGAGTAGTAGGACAGGTAATCAGGACACAAGACAGGGAGCTCTCTGCTGCACTCTTCCTGGATTTTACCCTCCAGCTGGGCATTCTCTTGTTCCAGCACTCGCACCTTTTCCAGGTAGTTAGCAAGGCGGTCGTTCAGGATTTGCATGGTCTCTTTCTCATGGCTGTTGATGCCTTCGCCACAGCAGCCCCAGTCATCCAGAGAAGGACAGGCACTGAAGTTATTTACTAGGTAGATGGGTCTGCGACAAAAGCAAGGAGTGGGCTGGCAACCCAGGACCTGGACAGTTCTCAGAACGCGGCAGCTGTTGGCCTTCAGACCACCACGATGGCAGGTGTTGCTGGAATTGATAACGTTTGTAGTCCTAGAGCAGTTTTGGCATGAGGTTGAAGAGGAGGTAGTTGTTGCACAGCTCTTGGTATCCATAGTGTGTGCCCAGCGTCAGTCTGTCTCCGAGTCTGTGGTCATCAGCCCAGGCAACCTCCACCGAGTATAAATTCCACACCTGTCGCGTTGGTCCTCTGTGAAGTGCTTATATAGCCTCTCCTCCCAGGGGGTCACAACAGATGGGATGTTTTCCTTTCTAAGGTTTATATCAAATCCTGTAGGAACATCTCATTAGTCTGCTTTTTACTTGCCTGAGAAGAGTTACTTGTCTCGTAAAAATACGCGTTTAAGGAGGTTACTAAGTCATTACCCATCCCAAATACTACTTCTCATTGGATCCAGAGCTTCACAGATGTCTTCAAAAGGAACTGTGTCACCGTCCTAACAGCAGCCATTAGTAAGCGGGTGTGAGCACATTAAGTTCATTAAGTCCTTGTTGACCTCTCCACCTGGGCTTCAGCTTGGCCAGGAAGGAGTCTGTCCTTTTCCTTTCTTTCCTAGGAAAGGGAAACTGATAACATCTAATAATTATCGGTGGATTTAGAAATCAGTGTCTGATTTTTTCTTGCCCAACTGATTTTCCCATTTTCACTGTTAGGACCTTGTGAGCATGGATGAAAATGTTAGTCTTAAATGAGACGCTCTTAATTGCTAGATTCATGCATTAGCTTCCAGGCAGGGTTTGATAGTTAACAAGAAATCTCTTGGGAAAGAGGCTGGTTACCTTTTGGTTTTCAAGGCTCATATTTTGTCACTTGTTTAGTGTTCAGTTTTTGCTTTTGGTATGACATTAGCTAAAATTTTGTCACGTGTTGGTTTATATTTGATGTTTAAATGTGATTTGTTGAAAGGTATGAGTGTTCTTTCTGAGGAGCGTGTACTCCTCATTTTCTCAAGAAAGTTACTGGTTCTTGATGTTTAATGGAAGTCCACAGAGTAATTTTCTCGCCTTTTCCAGCTTCCAGAGACTGTTCATATCCTTGGCTCATGGCTCTCTGCCATCTTCAAAGCCACAAAGAGCAGCTCAAGCCTTTCTGACATCACATCACTGGGAAAGACCCTGACCTCCTCTCTGCCAAGCTAAGGTTTCTTATGATTACGTCGGGCCCACCCAGATAATCCAGGAGAGTTTTCCTGTTTGAAGGTCAGCAGCTTAGTGTCCTTACTTCCGCTTTGCCGTGGAGCTCACCATAGTCATAGATTCAGGGGCTCATTATTCTGCATACTATACAATGTAAGGGGGAAAAGCCTATAATTTGCAGTAGCATCAGCACATATAAAACATGCAGGAATAAATTGAGTTAGAAAGGTGCCAGATCTTCAGGAATGACATGTTAAAATATGCAGAAGAGCAGCACACTAGAATTAGTGGAAATATACATCATGTTCTAGGACAGAAATGCAATATTCAGCTTTGTAAAACTGAGTTGTCTCTGGGTCAGTCTAACTTACATCCCAATAAATTTATTGAGGTCTCCCCAAAATGGATATGATTTTTCCAACTAACTTAGATAATTCTGAAGTTTCACGGGAGAAATAAGAATAGCAAGGACAATTCTAAAAAATACACACAAAGGGTCTTCAAAAAGATCATGGAGGTGAATTTAATGAAAAAAGACTATACATATATTTAAAATTTTTTTGCAGCAAAATAAATTTATCTCTAATTCCATTACCATGAACTTTTTGAAGCCCCCTTCTGTGAAAGTTTTGTGAGTAGGTATGTGCCCCAGACGAATAAGATTTTACATATACAGAATGACTTACACAAGAATGCTTATAGCAACAGTATTCTTTTTTTTTTTTAAGATTTACTTATTTATTTGAAAGGTAGAGTTACAAAGAGGCAGAGGCAGAGGCAGAGGGAGAGAGAGAGAGAGAGTGAGAGAGAGAGAGAGAGATGTATTCCATCTGCCGGTTCACTCCCCAGATGGCTGCAATGGCTGGAGCTGCACCGATCCGAAGCCAGGAGCCAGGAGCTTATTCTGGGTCTCCCATGTGGGTGCTGGGGCCCAAGGACTTGGGCTATCTTCTACTGCTTTCCCAGGCCATAGCAGAGAGCTGGATTGGAAGTGGAGCAGCCGGGACTTGAACTGGTACTCATATGGGATGCTGGCACTGTAGGCAGTGGCTTTACCTGCTATGCCACAACACCAGCCCCCAACAGTATTCTTAATAGCACCAAAATGGAAATACCCCAATGGCTCATAAACAGGATAATGGGTCAACGAAGTGTAGATTATTTTCATAGTAAACAGTACTCAACAATAATAAAGAATGAGCCAGTGGTATCCACAAAAACATGGGAGAATATCAAGAACTTGTTGAGCTGAAGGAGTTGGGTATGAAAAAGAACAGACAGTCTGATTACATTTATGTTAGCTTCAAGAACAGGCAAAACTCATCTGCAGTGTTAGATGTCAGAATAGTGGTTGCCTTTCAGTGTGTGTGTGTGTGTAGGGGGCGAGTTGGTGCACAGGAGTGTGAATGGACTTGGAAGGTTGATATTCTATGCCTTGATATTCTGTATCTTGATCTGGGTGGTGATTACCTGAGTGTATGCATTTTCTAAACTTCATGGAGCTGCATACCTTCTACTGATGCATTTTATCACATGAAAAAATTGTACCCCAATAAAATACAGCTAAGATTTCATACAACTGTGTAGCTACCTGAACATTCACTTCTTTATTTGTATACTTAAACTCCAAGTGGATCAAAAATTCAACCATGGAATATGGAAATCATAAATATGTTTAAAGAAAGTAGAAGGCCAGTGCCATGGCTCACTAGCTAATTCTCTGCCTGCGGTGCTGGCACCCCGGGTTCTAGTCCCGGTCAGGGTGCCGGATTCTGTCCTGGTTGCTCCTCTTCCAGTTCAGCTCTTTGCTGTGGCCCGGGAGTGCAGTGGAGGATGGCCCAAGTGCTTGGGCCCTGCACCCACATGGGAGACCAGGAGGAAGTTCCTGGCTCCTGGCTTTGGATCGGCAGAGCACGCCGGCCATAGCGGCCATTTGGGGGGTGAACCAAAGGAAGGAGGGCCTTTCTCTCTGTCTCTCTCTCTTACTAACTCTGCCTGTAAAAAAAAAAGTAGAATTATTTAATGTAATACTTTGTAGCAATGACTAAAAATTAGGCAACCATAAAAATGGATCAGTTTGACTCCATAAAATAACATTGTTTGAAATAATTCATAATTTTGAAAATATACAAAAATTATGGGAGAAAATATATCAAAATGTTAACAGTGGAATTCTTTGCACTTACAGTTATTGATGATTATTCTCTTCATGATTTTATATGCATTCCACAAATATATCTCTTTCAGAGTCAGAAGGAAGTGTGAAAACTAATGTTTGCACTTCCATATCCTTTTCTCCAACTTACAGTTTTTCTCACCCTTGAGTAACTCACAAGCAGTGCTGTTCCTCCCTTCCATGGCCTGCTTCTTTGTGCTGTTGAGTTGATTCCCCCTTGATTCCTGTAGGACCGTGACTCATCAGTTACACTCCTCATTTTTTGTCTCTTGAATCCTTGCACATTGATCAACTTTCCTTTCCCAGGGAGCATGTGTGTTACCTGATCCTACAATGCGTGTTGACCTGATCCTACAGTGCATATTGATCTGATCATACAGTGGGTGTTGTCCTGATCCTACAATGCATGCTGACCTGATCCTACAGTGGGTGTTGACCTAATCCTACAATGCGTGTTGACCTGATCCTACAGTGCGTGTTGACCTGATCCTACAGTGGGTGTTGACCTGATCCTACAGTGGGTGTTGACCTGATCCTACAATGCGTGTTGACCTGATCCTACAGTGCGTGTTGACCTGATCCTACAATGCGTGTTGACCTGATCCTACAGTGGGTGTTGACCTGATCCTACAGTGCGTGTTGACCTGATCCTACAATGCGTGTTGACCTAATCCTACAATTGTGTTGACCTGATCCTACAATGCATGTTGACCTGATCCTACAATGCGTGTTGACCTGGTCCTACAATGCGTGTTGACCTAATCCTACAATTGTGTTGTTCTGATCCTACAATACATGTTGACCTGATCCTACAATATGTGTTGACCTGATCCTACAGTGCGTGTTGACCTGATCCTACAGTGCGTGTTGACCTGATCCTACAGTGGGTGTTGACCTGATCCTACAATGCATGTTGACCTGATCCTACAATGCGTGTTGACCTGATCCTACAATGCGTGTTGACTTGATCCTACAATACGTGTTGACCTGATCCTACAATACGTGTTGACCTGGTCCTACAATGTGTGTTGACCTGATCCTACAATGCATGTTGACCTAATCCTACAATTGTGTTGACCTGATCCTACAATGCATGTTGACCTGATCCTACAATGCGTGTTGACCTGATCCTACAGTGGGTGTTGACCTGATCCTACAGTGGGTGTTGACCTGATCCTACAGTGGGTGTTGCTGGTAACGATGAAGTGCCTCCTCCAGGAAAGTAGCTTGTGCTGCCTTTGAGTTGCTTCACTGATGGAACGGTGCGTGTTTGTCACCTTTGTTTTTCTATCTCTAGCTCATTTGCTTACTTTGGAAACCTATCTACCCTGCGACCATTGTGCCACATAGTCTCTCTTGAAGAGCTTCTTCATCTATGTAACCTAGCCCTGTTTTCCTGTGAGAAACTGTTCAATGCTTCCTATACAGCAAGATTCACTTCTTGGTTGTCTGGCAATAAAGTCCCTCCCCAGTGTGACCCAACAGGCTTTATCCTGTGTCCCGTGGCCCTCATATCCACCACACACATTCCAGCCAAACTGCCCCCTTTGCTACTCTGCAAGCTCTGCATACCTACCTGGTCCCTCCAATGTGTGTTTACTGCTGGGGTCCCTCTATGTGGCGGAGACTCTAGGGCTCACACCTGTCCAGCTCTCTCCTCTTGGGCACAAGGGAATGTACACTCCCTGGTCCCTTTGCAGTTAGGCAGGGTGTTAATCAGCCTTTAATTTCGGGTTCAAGACCCTCAGTCTGTCTCTTTTCTTGCCTTAGGGACCAGGGAGGCAGCATGTTCCAGATACTGTGTTATGCCTGCTTTTCTGTTTTTGTTGGTGTGTCATTTTGGGGCATCTTAGCTGGACAAACTTAAATTCACACTCTCTCCCAGAAGGACAAGTCTGGAGGTAATAGATGGGAGTTCTCTCTACAAATTTTCTTAGACAACAGAAGCTTCTGGGAAGGGGCCATGCAGGAC